TTAAATGTATAGGTAATTAATAGAAATTAAGTTGTCAGCAAATGTTACATTTATTATATGTTATATATCAAAACATTGATAAAAGCGTAAAAAGTTCGTAAACTGTTCCGCAATAGTCTATAAATGTTCTGAGAATCTCACAGAAGCAGATTATGTGTATTTCTTTCATATTTGAAATGTATACTATAGGTCTGTTTTTTATAGCTGAATTAGTGTACATTTGTACTTAAAATGAAATAGATATATATTTGAAATTTGATGAAAGCGGAAATAAAATTTTAATGCGATTCAAGAATGTATAGCAGTAAAAAATATGACTTATATTTTAGAAAAAAAATATATCTCTGAGTATATCTAATTTTTTCTTGATATGTACTGAGACTATTTTTTAATATAATATCCAAAATAATATACATATACATATATATATATATATACACACCCACACACACACATTTATTTAAATTCTTTAATTATTTAAATTCTTTAATTATGTTGAATATAAATATATATCTAGAATATATATATAAAATTTTATTTTTACATCTTTCAAATATTCTTTTAAATTCAGAGTCTTCAGAGTCTGTGTTGTTAGGATTCCATTATTTTTTCTAATAGCGTTCTAGCAACCACGGATTTTAATTACCTTGAGAGCGATTAATAGTGTCATATAATTTTCTTTGGGTTACTTAAAGCATTGATTTCTTTTTCTTTCAAATTGAGATATAATCATATTTAAATGATAGATGTTTAATATTTCAGAAAGATATGTTTTATTTAAAAACATAATTATATGAAATTGAGTAAAGTTATTAATAATTTAATATTTTATACTTTTTTATGTATTTTTGAGTTCATAACATATATCCAAGATTAATCTTAGATCGATTCAAACTTATTGCAGTTGAAAATTCTATAAATCTGTGTGAAGCTGAGTAAAATTTTCTGAGTAGTTGAAAAATTATTTAATTTTTAAATTTGCATTGATTTGATTCTAATAGAAAAACATTGCGTATTACACTGATAACATCAGAATTGAATAGTTTATCTAGGATATATTATTTATAAATTATTAATTTTATACACATAATTAGATTTTCTCCTGCATGAATATTATTCCATGTCCATAATAACTCAAAATCTTTCTGTAAACTATTGATTTTTTTTAATTGATTTCAGGGGATATTTACAATCAAAAAAGTTTCATCATTTCTATTAAGAAAAATATTAATTATAAATTTTTTTATAAAAATTTAAAAATTATTTTATTTATACTTTAACTTCTATTTATTTAATGTTTTAAAAAGTGTATAAATATAAGAAAAATATTCCCTTTAAATTTCGATAATGTTTTGCTATTATATTATATAGTTAAAATATATTGAAAAGAACATTCTTATTTTTAATGATTTAATTTTGAATTTAATTCTGATAATTTTCAATAAATACGCAATCTATATTACTACTATACTTAAATGTTGGTTTAATAAATAATTCTTTATTTAAGTAAGAAATTCAAACTATTTTATTATTGCTCAATGTAAATCAATAAAAATATTGAAAGCTATTATAATTAGACTTATTTAAAATAATAAAATCATCTACACAAAATAGTATATTTTATGTAAATAATTTAGGGAAAATAGATAGTAACACACACACACACGCACACATACACACACATATCTCATTACATTATAATGATGTATAACGAAATTTATTGATGATAACCAGTTTAAAAGGAGATTTTATAATTTTTTTTTCTATACAAATGTGAAATATTCAAATCACACGTTTATGTAAACAAAAATATATGATCTTTAAATATTACAAAAATTTAACCGATATATTTTTTAGCATGCTGAAATTATTAATACACTCGGTTACATAATATATAAATAATACATAAATCTATGTAATTTATATGTATTCTTATAAATTAAATATTCTTGATTAAATTTTTTTTACATTTGTATCCCGATAGCAAAACCTGCAGAAACAGATTTTGAGCAGAGCCTGCTATTTGATGGCTACCAATATTTGATGACAGAAATAAAACAAATTGCATACAGTGTTTGTAATATTTGATGATGTTGGCAAACTGCCGTCAAAAATAGGACAAAGCCTGCCGATATACAAATATGCGTATATATAACAATCCGTGTGCACAGCACATTAACAGACTCTGCTTGATTTCTGCCATCAATCTGCTGACATAGGCTTTGTCGACAAAACTTGAACCTAATGCGCACAGATTGCTATGGGTTTGCAGTTAATATCCGATCGAATTTGCTGCCAATCTGCCAGCAAATTGCTAACATTTTGCTTGCTGGGCAAAGGTGTAAAAAAGATTTTGTTGCATTTAAAATATCATAAATGATGTATTAATCGATTTAATTATATTAATCAATTCTTTGTAGATCTATTGTATTATTAATTTTATTTTATGTATTCTTTACAGAACACTAAAGGACCAAAGGATGTATTCTAAGGAAAAAGCTCTTATTTTTATGTAATTAAATTTCATTAGATATAAGAATTATATAAAATACTCAGGGACAAAATATTAAATATTATAATTTTATTTTCATTATAAAAGAAAATAGTTACTCGAATCTATCTTAATTTTTAATTAAAATTATTTAATTTTGTTTACAACATGACAATAAATAATAGAAAATATATAATAGTTTTAATAATAGTTTTTCACATCACCCATGAGATATTATTTTTGATGCGTTTTTTTTAAGACTTATAAGAAACACATATAATACATTAATAATGGAAAATTTAATGTTTAATATATGAAAATAAGTTATTTGAAAAAATGTTTCATTAATTTGGTGGGAAGGCCATACTCAGCATTTTTGAAATGGAGACACCCCTAAGCCACAGCGATCGGCGGCTGCGAGTAAGAAGAAACATCTGATTTTTTTTCTCTCTCTAATAGAAGAAAGTGAGAGAAACATTAAGTGGGGACTGTGTCTATGATAGGGATCCAATAAGCGTAATTTTTCTCGAAAAAGTTGTCCGCTTATTGGATATCACGCATCGCATGTTGCGTCATCACGCTGGTCTGAATCCAGCATTTGACCACGTTGCAATAGCGACCAATGCCTAGAGATTTCCACTGGATCAACCAATCAAATAATTTAATTTTAAATTGGCCAATTGGCAACGTGGGCAATCAGAGGCGTCACCCCTCCGACCTTAAGTTTTTTTTTGTGGCTATGGCTCTTAGCGCTACAAAATTTCGAAGCGTTTGATTAACCAATTAGAATAAAGAATCTTATGAATTGATCAATTAAAAAATGATTCGAAGCATTTATAGCATCAAGATTATAGATTACACCCTGAGATTAGATTGGAATTTACATATGTCCTTATGATAGAAATGCGATTGGGGGTAACTTTTTTTATGCATATGATTATGCTACTATGCAAGTTTGTCTGGATAGGCTCTTAGAGTTACAGACTCGCGCTACAGAGGTGCTTTCCATTTAATAAGTCGACACAAGTATCGTTCTACCTTAGTTTTCATGATTAACAAGGACAAAATTATACTTGTGTCGACTTGTGTCACTAAATACCGGAAAGCACCGATATTAATAAAAAAAGATTTAATGTTTGTGAACAAAATACAGCAATCGATAGATTGCAATAACCCTAAAATCGAATTCGATTATCGAATATATTCCAAAAAAATTTCCAAAAAAATCCCTGGAATCGATACCATCGATGTATTCACATTTGTACTAATCGCATAGTCCGGAGTAATCGCTGCCAGTTTGTTGTGGTCTGCCGTCTCTTGTTGTTTATCGCTGCGTTGTACCTGTGACATCATGCATTTATCAATTGCATCTGACTTCGTAGAAACTATATAAATAACATTCTCCGCTTAGCAAACTTGACATATCTTTATGTATCGCTAATAACGCGTCAAAAGGTGGAAAGGCCGATGCCGGATGATCACACGACGCCGGACTTCAGGGAGTCGATTGTGTATCTTGAAGCGAAGTGAAAATTACAATAGCAAGAAAATTTACTAGCTTCCGACACATGAAGTTGCAGATATTCCAATGAATTTCCTCGCTTTTGTAATTCTTCATATCGTTTCAAAGCACACAATTGATCACTAGATCGCTTCGGACGGTCAAGCCAGCGTAGGTTAACAGCGACGTTTCCGGTTAGGCGCGAAAAATTATCGATATCCCTCTCCTGTTGGCGGGAACGTGTTGGAAAGGCGGGACGCGCGTACGAGTGGACACTCGTAATGGACAGTGTATGAATCGATACGCGGATCCCTTTTCACATTTCCCAACATCTTTGCTAGCCGCGATGGCTCGTGGTACAGATCGTGCGATCGAACGTAACATTGCTAGCCGGCGAGTAAGAGATGAGTCACGAGGTGAGTGCCAGAAATTTATTTACCTGATATAACAACGAATAATAACAGCTGTGTAAACCGATAATGGATTTGTTATAGAATTACGTAGAATGAATTCTAATAGAAATTAGTCTATCCTTTTTTTTTTTTTTTGTAAAAATGCAATAGAAATCTAGGAAATAATGGAGTAAGTCTATTCGGAATTCATTCTGATCAATTTCACAAATCTGATGATCGTTAATTTCAAATACTTTAATTTCTGGACTCTCAAATTTGAATAATTAAAAAAGCTTTCTTAAAAAAGCAATTGGAGTAACTATATAAATTAATGCAAAAGTTCAAAATTCTGATGAAAATATATTTAATTCTCACAAGAAAAATGTTATTGATTTGTTTCCAAGCTATTTTCAACGATATACATATATTTTCAGAAAGTTCCATAGGTCCATAATTTTCATATTCATTATTCGTTTTTTTACCTACTGCATACCATATAGAATTATGAATTATTAGTTGTTTAAGGATTGATTTTAAATTCATATTATTTTCTTATGACAGAAAATGAACCAGGATGCAGTAAGAAGAAAATACTTCGGAGTATGAAACGTAACAAAGAGTCAGATGAAGTAAAAGAACAAGTGGAATTAAATTCCAAAGTAAACTTAGATACATCCGTATTAGATAAAACTCCAAAGCAATCAGCAAAGAAAAACATGACTACAGAAACAAACAAGGAATCAGTGGTATCTGATTGTCATGAAATCGAAATAAAAACTGATGGAAATGCTATTCCAGAATTCGATAAGGAAAATCATGATCCAGAAATAAATCAGGAGGAAATAAAAGAAAATCCAGAGAAGAGAACAAAAGTGGAGAACAATAAGAAAATATGTGAATCAAAATCTCCAAATAAAAAGGCATCTGTTGTAGTAGAACGATGCCAACACTGTAAACAAAAATTGAATGATGATATAAAGTTATATCAAGGCCATCCTAATGGTGCAATTGAAGAACAGATAGCTTTAACTGATCCTAACCTATGTTTATTTATTGGAGATGAATCTTATATAGATGAAAGCGATGAGAGACCGCAAAATAAATTAACTCATTTTAGGTAAATTTTCTAAATAGCATATATATTTTAGTATGTAAGCAAAATTATTAAAAAAATTTACATATTGAAATTATGCATATTCATAATAAAATAATTTTTTTCAGTGTTTACGACATGAATGGACACCTATGCCCCTTTGATACAGGACTTATAGAAAAAAATGTACTATTGTATTTTTCTGGGTACATGAAACCTATTTATGACGAAAACTCCTCCCCTGAAGGAGGTATACCGACAAAAGATATGGGACCAATAAATGAATGGTATGTTACCGGATTCGATGGAGGAGAATTAGCATTAATAGGTTTTAGTACGGCATTCGCGGAATATATTTTGATGGAACCGTCTGAAGCCTATGCACCATTCATGGATATTGTTAAAGAGAAGATATATATGAGTAAATTGGTTATAGAATTTTTACTAGATGAAGTTAATCCATCTTACGAAGACTTGTTACATAAACTTCGAGTAAGTTTGCTGTTTACAATTATATTTTGACATGCTTTTTGAATATATATTTTATTATTTTTGCGTTATTATAGACAGTAGTACCTCCTAAAGAAACGATGAGATTCACAGAAGATACATTGTTACGCCATGCACAATTTATTTGCGATCAAGTTGTATCATTTGATAATTCTGCTGAAGCTGATGATATTCTTCTCATTACGGCTCCATGTATACGATCTCTCATGAAGCTCTGTGGTATCACATTGGGTAAGAAATCGGTTCTTCGTTCAGTGAGACGCGAACAGAAGGTCAAGACGCCTGCGTGGTCAATGGCCACTACGACAAAACTAGTTAGCAATATGTTTGAAAATATTTTTTCTGGTCAACTTGCCAAACATAATGTGGTATGTATTTTTACATTGTTTACTGCTATTTTTTTTAATGTTATTAATGAACATTTTTTCTTATTAGACACGTAAAAGGTGGCGATGTGGCATTTGCGACAACTGCCAACAACCTGACTGTGGTGTTTGTGTTGCTTGCAAAAATATGACGAAATTCGGAGGCAAGGGAAGCCAAAAGCAAGCATGTATTAGAAGGAGATGTCCAAATTTGGCGATCCAAGTACGATTCAATTTTTTTAACTATACATTAATACTAGCCAGTACATGTTAACAAACAACAGCAACATAAAATCTGGGGATTTTAATCGATATAATTGGTGATATATTTATTTGAATTTATTCATACAAAAAGATTTTAGCAACCAAGATCCTGCTTGCCAAGAATCGGTCTATGTTACTTACTGTCAATTTTTTAATATAAAAATTTATACGCGATTATTATCTCTTGATTATATAGATAAAAAACATGAGAAAGCAAGATCTTTGGCATTTAAATAATACAAATAATACAAATATAATTTTTATAAATGTAGAAATATAAGATTATTAGACTGAAGATCCTGTTTTATCTATATTCCTTTCCTGTTGTTTAAACATATCTTCGATCTATATACTAATTATTTAATAAAACATAATAAGTAGAAATAAATTTATTTACTAATTTTTTTTGAAAATTTACATTTTTATATAGGAAGCAGATGATTCTGACCCAGAAAACGAGGAACAGTATGAAAATCCAGCAGAAGATCAAATAATACAAGAGGAGGAACGTAAAAAGGAAGATTTTAAAGAACTTAAGAAAGATATAATATGGGAAGAAGAAGATAAAATTGTTGAGGGACAGAAAACGTATTACAAATCGGTTATAGTTGGAAATGAAAAAATCCAAATAAACGATTATGTTTTGCTAGAGCCTAGAGATCCTACAATTCCTTTACAAATTTGTAAAGTTATGTTTATGTGGGAAACCAAGGGTGGAGCAAAACGATTTCACGCAAATCGTCTTCGTAGAGGTGTTGACACTATTCTTGGTGAAACTTCAGATTCTATAGAATTATTCCTTAGTGATCAATGTTGCGAAGCATCATTTACATCCGTTAGATCCAAGGCAACTGTTATTCATAAAAAGATACCAGAGAATTGGTCAGAATTAGGTAAGAATATTAGATTAAATTATTGATTTGATTTTTTTAACATTACATACATATACAATATAAAAATATAAAACAATATAAAAACAAGAATACTAAATACATACAATACATATGTATTTAGTATTCTTGTTTTTTCTCAATGTCTTCCCAAGGCAATACCTTTATTTTGTCATTATATTTACATAATTGTATTTATAAAATTTGTTATATATTGCAGGAAATATGGATGTAGATAATGATATAAAAGATACAGATGGTAAAACATTCTTTTATCAATTAAAATATGATCCTGAAAGTGCTCGATTTGAAGATCCGCCACCGGATCCGGAATGTCCGGGAAAACAAATTAGTCATCGATTCTGTCCCTCTTGCACCCGATTGGCTATACAAACACAACGTGATATACCTAAGGTACGAAATAATTATAAGAAAAGTTTATTTAAGTTATAAAAATTAATCTAGAAACCAAATTTTTTTTCAACTTTGTAGGAATATAAGATATAAACTAAAACAATATTTATATTATGATATAATACGACATTTAATAATTTTCTTGGCTTTATTTTCTTTGATACAATGTAGGAAAGGAATTGTTTAAATTTTGATTTCTTTTTAGTTACAATTTTTAAAATTATATAATTTTTATTTAGCATTATATGTTTATTAAAATAAAAATATATTTTGTATATGTGCACATGACTTTTATGAAATTCTATTATCAAGAAAAGCATAAATATTTAAATAAGATATGTATTGGTTTTTGCTTATTTAGGTCTATAATCGAATAGAGGAGAAAAGCAGTAAAGACGTAACTTATGAACTTGTAAAATACAAAGGCGAAGAATATAAAATTGGTAGTGCAGTATTCTTATATCCACAAGCTTTTAAATTTGAACATAAACGAAAATATCAAGAAAACAAAAGTCCAAAGATGAAATATGTAGATGAAGACATGTTCCCAGAATTTTATAGAAAAGCAGATAATAAATCAACATTCTCTAATGTTGATACTCCTGAACCTTTTCATATCGGTTACATCAACACAATATATGCTACAACTACTGATATATTAGTGCCACCTTCTGATATTTTTATTAAAATAAATATAATGTACCGACCAGAAAATACTCATCGAGATTTAGCACTAATGGAGCAGTCTGATATTAATATGGTCTATTGGAGTAACGAAGGTAAGATATAATAATTTATAGAGCCATGAATTTCTTGTTGTTATTTTAGATAAATTCGAAATTTTTAATATTATTAACGAACATTCGATATCGTGGTCATATGGCATTATTAATCATATTATTAAATATATTTATGTCGAATAAATGTCTTTATTTATCTTTCTAAAAAGTAATTTGAATAAGAATGTTTTATTTATATTGTAGAGTGCACTGTAAATTTCTCTGTCGTTGCCGGTAAATGTTATCTGGCATATTTCAAAAATATGAGCGAGTCTATCGAAGAATGGTCTATGACTGGTCCAAATAGATTTTATTTTACCGAAGCATATAATCCTAAAGAACAAACATTCGATGAACCACCTTATGATATCATTAATACGAAAAAACTTGGAAAAGGAAAGGGAAAAGGCAAATCAACAGCAAAGAACACAGAAAAAACTGAAAAGAAACAAGTTATTGAAGCATCCGTAGATTATCCTGTATTGTCAAGAAAATTAAGAATGTTGGATATTTTTGCTGGTTGTGGAGGTAATATATTATTTATTATATTATATTATACATCTCTCTTCCTGTTAATTAGTCTAGCTTCTATGGAATTAGATTTTAATCGGATATATGGCTAATCCAAAAAAACCAAAAATTTTTAGAACTGT